TAATATAAAATCTAAGTTCTTCTGGTTGAAGATGTAGTAGGAGGATAGAGGCTAGAGCCCTATCAAACCTCTCTGCATCCTCCCTGAAGAACACCATGAAATCTTGGAGTTACCTGGGTAAGATTTTAAAACTGCTGCTGCCCTGGCCAAAATGGCAAAATGGTTGGAGCAGTGGCCTGAGCATTGATGGGTCTCGGGTTCAATTCCTATTCAAGGGTATGTACCTGGGTTGCAGGTTCCATCCACAGGAGTGTGTGTGTGAAGCAACTGACCTTTCACATCGATGTCTGTCTCTCTCTCTCTCTCTCTTTTTCTCTCTCTCTCTCTCTCAAAATCAATGGGAAAAATATATTTGGGAGAGGATTAACAAAAAAAAAAAAAAAAAAAAACAACTGCTGCTCATTTCTAAAATGTTTTATATGCATCTATTAGAAAAACTTAAATCTTTATTATATTTTCCCCCAAGTCAATCTGTTAAATACTGAGAATGTTGTGTTCCAGTCTGTAAAAACAAACGCATTTCTCTGACCTCTCTTGCACCAATCGAAGCTTTCTTTTGATTAGAAAGTTAAAATTCTTGGAATTTGATGGATTAACTATCTTGATCATTTTTTATTTACTATCTTCCTTATAGGCAGCATCTCTTAGTAACATAAATTATCAATTTTGTTCCACTTTAAATTAAAGCTTTTCCCTTTTAATTCTTTTTTCTGTAAACTAAATAACTACCACTAGTATTTGAGTTTGATATCCTCTGATTGCTCTTTTACTTTTACATTAAAAAAGTAAAAAAGCAATAAATATAGTAAAATCATATTTCTGGTCTTTTAAATATAGGACACACACATATATAGACAAAGTATATTTTTGTAAATGTATATGCATATTTGTGTATATAATGTATACCAGAGGCCTGGTGCATGAAATTCATGCACGGCGGAGGGGGTTCAGCCCACCTTCTCCAATCTGGGACCCCTCAAGGAATGTGCGACTGCCCATTTAGGCTGGATCCCACTGGACAGTTGGGCATCCCTCTCACAATCCTGCTGGCTCCCAACCGCTTGCCTGCCTGCCTGCCTGATTGCTCCTAACCACTTCTGCCTGCAAGCCTGATCACACCCTAATCATTCCCCTGACAGCCTGATCGATGCCTAACTGCTTCCCTGCCAGCCTGATTGCCACTAACTGCTCTCCTCTGCAGGCCTGATCACCCCCGACTGCCCTTCCTTGCTGGCCATCTTGTGGTGGCCATCTTGTGTCCACATGGGGGCAGCCATCTCGTGTGTTGGAGTGATGGTCAATTTGCATATAACCTCTTTATTATAGAGAATATTTTGAACTATAGTTTTCTAGTATATAAATTCTGTATATTTTAATCCTATATACATTTAAATATTAAACTTTTTAAGAACCTTTAAGTTTTTAACAGAAGCTTTTCAATTTCTTGGTATCTGTGAAGATATCTATTACTGGGATTAGGCTTTTTTATGATACATCTTATCTTGCATTTTTACTCTTAAGGGAATATTATTTTACTTTACTTTATAATTTTAAAAGACCTCATTCTAAGTAGAAAAAATTAATAGAAGATAAAACACACTTCAAAAATGGGATGTAGAACTTCTATGCAAGCATGTCTAACTCGCAGTGGCAGCCATTCACCTCTCTGGCTTCTTCAATTAGTTTTCTAATCTCTTTAGGTCTAAAAACTATAACAATGGGACTCAAAAACACTGGTGATCATCATAACCTCATTATAGTTGGGGCATAACTGAATGATATACCTAATTTCTCTGATTATTCAACCTTTATGAGAAACTCTGTGTTTTTAAATCTATGGCCAGCCACTTCAGATTAAATTCAGATGGCCACCTGGGATTTTATTCCATTTAAAAAAAAATTTAAGCTGCCTTACATTTTATGTATTCTATTCTGTTTTTTTCTCTAGACTCTAGTGTTAGGCTTCTGACTTGGAAACACAAGATGAATAGTCACGGGGAATTTTGTCACCACAATCTGTATAATGGCTGCTCTCTCTGGTGAGCTCCAATCTTGGCTCTCTTGTTTACTTTTATCAAAGAAGGTTAGTCAGAGGTAAGAGTTCACACAAAATTTTAAGCATTTATTTTTATGTTCCCTTCACAAACCTAATGGCTTGTTGGACCAGATATTTAACTTGGTGAGTAATAAACTTGAGCTCCTAAGGTTCTTTAGCAGAAGAGCAGCTGGGTCTGAGGCAAAGCTTTTCTGTGAGTGACCACAGTTCCTTCATTAAGAAACTCCAAATGCAGCTTTTAGTGAATCTTTGGCATTTGGTTGACACTGCTTACGTTCAGTGGATCAGATCTCAAAATTTAGAATATAAGAAACAGTAAACATACTTGTGTCATTCTGAGGTGGGGTTAAGTGAGGATGAGAGGTGGCTGGAGGGGAGTGTATTTATATGTATTATTATGCCCACTATTTCCCTGCTTCTCTTTCCCAGTCTCTCAAGTACAAGGAATTATGAATGTTATTTAATCTTTATTTGATAATTTAGAAGGGTCTTCAGAGATCACAGATCATAGCTCTTTAGTATACTTACAACCAAGTATTAAGAATTCGGTGCTAGAGAGAAAGAAATAGTCTAAGAGTTAACTATCATGATAATGAACTAGCAAGTAGAAATTGATATAAAAATTTAGACATTTTTATATTTAAAATCACATAATACTTAATATTAATTACATAAATTCAGAGTGGAATACAAAGCCAGATACACACAGAAATCAGCGGGGGGGGGGGGAGAGGAAAAAATTGTGGGTTTTTTTTTTTGTTGTTTTTTTTTATATCCTTGCTCAAAAAAAAAAAACCCAAACCATCCCAGTTTTTTCCTTTTTTAAGAAAAGTTTTTTCCTTTTTTAAGAAAAAGATAGGGTCCCAAGTGAGTTTTTATGTATGTCTATAAAATGTTTCTCTTCTAAATTACACTTAAGTGAAAATAAAAAGAAGAAAGAAAGAAAAACAATAATAAGCTTTGCTGGTAGGTCTCTACCATTTTCATACATCCTAGAAGAGAGGGTAGTAAACAAAGTTTCTGCAACCGTAAGTGATGCTTAGAGGAAAATTAAATCACTGAGTGATGCCAGGACTGATTATTCTACTGCACTTTAAAAGCAAGAGATTGCAGTCTGTGAGTCCAAAGTGGTTTCATATGGACTGCCACAGTTGTGGTTTACGCTTGAAACTATAACCTGTCAAATTAGAAGCAGGCAAGGCCTGTGCTCTTAACGGTTCCACTTTCTACTGTCTACAGTTATGTCTACAAGTTCAGCACTTTTATTCAGTACGACTGTGTTATTTGGAGGAGCAGAATCTCAAAACTGCTCTTTTTAAAAAATCTCGGTTAGAGAATATTTTAGTTAGGATATAAAGCTTAGAGAAACTACCAATCTAATTTTTATTATATAGATAAAGCTGACTTTCATTGCAACTATTTTTATCAACTATTGATATTTTATTATATAATGTATAATGCAACTACAGGTATATAAACTGCAAAAATTCTCAAGCTTATTTCACCCAGCATTGACAGAAATGTTATTGACTCTAACTTGTATTTAATGACTCATCATCTTTCCAGGCCTACAGTAGCCTGCTATGATGGCTCAGTGTTTCTCCTTGATTGGGGAATGTCCTTCTAAGCAATGGGCTTAGTTCACAGAAATTTTCCCATCAAGAGAGAAAAGCTACTTGTTCAATTTTACTCATATTTTATGTAGAGTTCTTCCTTAATGAATCTTCCTTCATGCCCATTTGTATAATGTAAAAATGTTTTTAAAATAAAGCATAAACAATATTTGCTGTCATAAGTGAAACCATGCCACTAAACAATCATATCCTGTTTAGGCCATAATGACATCAGAAATATATGTTTATCATCTGCATGGGACAACTGAGCATGTTTTTGGCCCAAGGCAGAATTGAACTAAAACCATTTGCATTGCCCCAAACCAAGATAACCACACATTTCTAAGGTAATTGATACCTAAGAAGAACACTGCTTTTAGATCACAGTTCCTGATCTAAGCATACTAATTCTTTAAAGAAGGCTGTTAAAGTTTATAAACCATGTATGTCTATTGGACTTCCTCCAAAATTTAACATGAAATAATTATATTCTTAGCATGCATAGAGACTATGATAAAGTGGGTACTCAGTATGATCTTTTGGAGTTCTGAAATTACCACTCTTGCCTAATTTAAGGAGAAAAGGGAAAATGGAGATTTTTTTTTAAAACATGAGAAATAAATAATAATAACAACTATCATAAGAATAATGCCTTGTACTTTGGCACTCAAATGAAATCAATCATTACTCCCCCCCCCCCCAAAGTACTTAAAGAAACAATTCTATGAATAGATAAGCTGAGGTAAATAGAAGGCATACAATTTTCATTGTTCATTGTTAAACATATCCAGGGAATCCAAACACATGTCACTAACTTTGTGTTACAGTGATATAAAGCATGTAATTGCGCTGGATACTAACTTAGGTGGTGAGTCCAACAGTAGCCTGGAACTACAGCCTGAAAAAGTTCTTCACGCTATATTCCAACACAAATGAAGTTAAGGATTACCTTTGCTCACAAAGTTAACTGGATATTTGGAACAAAAATAAATAAATATCTAACCACGAGTTAGCTTTTAATGAATAAAATAATATTGGTAAAACTAAGATCCTGAAAAAAAAAAAAGAAGGAAGCTGAGGGAAATCTATCTATACTCAAAGAAGGAAACCGAGAAATGGGAAACTGAAGTCCTATCTACACATCAACTCTGAAGGCAGAGTCTGACATCCTCTCCAGGATACTCCGCTGCACAATGCTGTCTTCAGACATGAAACCACTGATTGAGGCATTTCAGACAACATGTAAGGAACATAATAACAGAACCAAATAGCACAGGCACTGCAAACTGCAATGTTACTCTTTAATGTAAAAAGGAAAGAACCAACTATACCTCCATTCTTTCTTGTTTAACTTCATCAATTTCATCATCTTCAAACATTGCCAAGAGTTCTCCTGTTTGGTCAATAGAGTTGAGAAAGTCTTGCGCGATTTTCTGTCTTTTGTTTGCATTATTACTGCCACTCAATTTGTCTTTATGGAGATAAAAGAAGGGAAAAAAATGTTTAATAAGGTTACATCAGTACCAATCATTACATGTATTAAATAATGAATATAAAATTCAGAATTAGAATTTTCTCAAAATATTTTTAAAAGGATCTTTGCATCAAAAATAAAAGTGTGTTATAGAATTAAATCATTTATTCATCTCAAAAGATTGAAAGAATAAAATCATATTATCAATTGCCATACTAAGTGTTAATGGATTGATTAAAATTGCATGCCCTGCCCCCCTCAAAAAAGGCGGAAATACTCTCAGATTTGGAAAAAGAATCCTGTTATAGCAGGCCTAATTAAAAACAAAAACAAAGGCATTAAAAAACCCCATCTGATTTGAGACATTAAATTAAAAGAAGACATTATTATAAACATTGCTATGGCAAATGTTTGAAACCAAAAAAGGGATGAGATTTTATTATTTTTGTTTTAAGAGATAAAGCTATCATATTTATTTAATAGCAAAACATAAGTCTGAGAAAGTTATTACAATATTGTAATAGGTAACATTTTTTGGAATTCAGCAGTGAAATCATCTGGGCATGGGTTTTTCTTAGGGAGGAAGTTTTTAAATGACTAATTCAAACTATTTATCATAGGTCTACTCAGATTTTATATTTCTTCTGGATGCAGTTTCAGTTTTTATAGAAAAGAAAGTAAATATTTATATATTTATTTACCAAGTCTATTTCTTTTCATTTCTCTTTGCAATTTGAACAACCACCTTGTGTCACTCCTGACTCCAATATAACTGTTACCATCCATTTCATTTATGTTGTTAATATCAAATACATTACATACCTATGTCACAGACCCAACATTATAAATATTGATATTGCTTTATACATTTATTTTTAAATCAGTTAAGAAAAATAAATATAAAATTACATCATCTAATATTAACCTACATAATTATCTTTACTTCCTTGTGTATGGGTGTGTATATTTAAATTATCATTTGGGGGCAGGGCTGGCTGCCCCACTGCCCACAGCCCCTCCCCACAGCTTGCCCTGTCCCCAAGTGGCCCCTCCTCCCAGCCGGCCCAGCCCTGATTGGGCCCTGATCAGAGCAGGCCTTCTGGCCAACCTACTGCTCTCTTCTTCACTCCACGCCCCCTCCGTACCCCCCCCCCCCAAAGCCTGACCCAGATCTGCCAATTGGGACCGGGCCAGTCGGACCCCACCTGTGCAGGAAGTAGTGCACTGGGCCTCTAGTATTGTTAATAATAAGTCAGCTGTTAATAATATTAATATTGTTAGGGTTCTATTGTATATGATGAGGTGCTTTTTTCTTGCAGCTTTCATGACTTTCTCTTTGCCTTTGTCCTTCAACACTTTTACTAGAATGGTGTCTAAGTGTGAATTGCTATGTGTCTATCCTACCTGGACACTGTTGAGCTATTTGGATGTATAGATTAATAGTTTTCATCAAAGTTGGAAGCTTTTTCATCATTATTTCTTTGAATATTTTTTTCCTGCTTTTTTTTTCTTTTCTCTTTCCTTACTGTCTGGTAGTCTTATTATGTACATGTTGGCTCACTTAATAGTGTCTCATATTTCTCTGAAGCTCTTTTGATTTTCTTTCATTCTTTTTTCTCTTGGTACTTCAGACTGCATAATCTGTTCTAGTTCACCGATTATTTTTCTTCAAATATTTTTCATTCAAAGTTACCATGAGCCTCTCTACTGAATTTTTCAGTTTGGTTTTATACTTTTCAACTCCAAAATTGCCATTAGCTTCTTTTTATAATTTCTAACTTTTAATTGATATTCTCTATTTTATAAACCACTGCAATCATACTTTCTTCTGTTCTTAAACATGGTCTCCTTTTGTTCTTCGAACATATTTATAACAGGTATTTTGAAGTTTTTGTCTCCAAGTCCAATATCTGGGCCTTTTGTGTTGTCTGCTCTCCCACCCCTTTCAGAGATCACACATACCTATTTCTTTGCATATCTAGTATTTTGTTATTACAGCTGTTGAAAATGGAGTAGTATATTACATTCAGTTAGTATATAGTAGCAACTTAGATAATAATTTCCTTCTCTAAATGGGGCTTATTGTCATCATTTGCTTGTTTATTTTATCACTGACAGCTGAACTAGTTCAATACAGTATCTTTCCTTCTTATTGTGCAGCCTCAGAAGTTGCTCCTCAGAGGCACAGACTTGAGCATACAGTCTTCTCATTTGCCAGGGATGACTGCTTTTAGTCAGTTTCTCTCTGGCTTTCACTTCTCATGATCTCTCCACTAAGTTACTGACTGGTCTGACTCTATTTATTGACATCACATACATCTGATACTTCCACTAATTCCTGGCTGATTGTTCTATTGCTTTTGTTAATACTCTTGAGCATGGATTGCTTCACAGAATGATCTACATAATGCTGGGCCTCTTTGCAGAGTTAAGGTTCTGTCAGCTTTTAAGATTTGCTCTGATCCCAGGAGAACACTTCATATCTGTCTCTTCCCTTTGTTTCCTCTGTTAAACTTTTAGCTTATGCACTGTTTATGCTTGTTGTAACCAGTATCAAGAAGTTACCAGCTTCCTCTTAATTGCTCACCACAAGAATCTCCACTGTTTTTTACCTGCTCTGTTCTAGTCGGGCCCCTTAGGGAGGGCTGCAGAGCTGTCCAGTTATTGTTCTGGGCAGAATCTTGGACCACTATACTGGAGCTGGGGGTGGAAACAGCAATCATTCTCCTGGAGAAACTATCCTGGATTCAAGAATTGGGAGTTGGTCAAAGATGGGAAATCTTCTTTTAGGCTTGTCCCTTCAGACATGGATCTTTACTCCCTATGAGAAAGCTAAGGTGGGCGACCAGGGCCCAGTATTCTCAGCCTGATATGTCTGCGGTGGAACTTCTCTATGAACAGAGGATGAGAGGAAGCTCCAGTTCATGTAGTTATGTCTGCCTAGAATAGAGCTTCTGCAACGTGGAACCAGAGATGAGAGATGGTGCCCTCCTGCCCTTCCTGGGTGTTACCCTAGCCTGGGAGCTGGAAAACCAGGTGTCAGGTGTTCTGGGCCACACTTGCCCAGAGTAAAGCTTCTATCATACTGAGATGGGCTGGCAGGGTAGGCTGGGAGGAGAGGAATGTTGGAAGTAGGTCATGGCTCAAAAGCAACAGACACACTGGTCTTAATGAGATTTAGAAGATTTTCTTGAACGTGTGTTTGCTTCTTCATTTGCTGTATGCTCTTAGGAAAATTAAAAAAAAAAACAAAACACACACACACAAAAACCGAACCTAAACTATAATTTAAAAAATTTTCACTAGGTAAACGTCTTTCACTGGGTAAGAGAACCACACTCTTCACATGGTCATTACACAAATCCCACCTCAGTAGATGCATTTTACTTGAGTAAATAGTTTATTGTGTATGTTGTATCAACTTTTAAAAACTTTTATATAAGACACACAAAATTAGAAAATTTAAATGAGTATAAAGAAGAGATATTTGAAATGAATAAGAGAGGACAGAGAACTGACATGATGATGCTAGTGCAACTGATACTATTCTTGCCATTCTGAGCATTGTAATATTCAAAGCATTGTATTGACAGCTATCATTTATTCAGTGGCAGGAATGTATCAAGAGCTTTTCATGCATTAGGTTGAAATTTCATAATAACTACACATAGTAATTGGTGTAATTTCTGATTTACAAATAAGAAAACCAACCTCAGTGTCTTACAGAGAGAAAGCAGATTAATTGAAGTTCCAATCTATCGATATTTCAAATCTGTATTCTTTATACTGTTCATAAAAGGGAACATTTAAAATAATCTGGAGAACTACTTTCCAGGAATTAAATTATATGAGAATTTCAGGAATATTAAATATACAACACTGACTAAACATTTGATGAGAATTTTTTTTTTCATGGCTATTACAATTGCTTATTTGTTGAGGGTAAATGAAAGTAGTTTCTTTCAAAGTCTGTTAACTCTTCAGTTGGTTTTGAATAGTTTTCTGGAATTCTTAATCCAGTAGAGTTTGTTTAGATACTTTATCAATATATGTCAGCAATAAATACCACTATGCAGTCACTGTGTTAAATCCAAAATATGTGTTATTTTTAAAATATAATATACGTTGAACCTTGAACAATGTGAGGTTTAGGCATACCAAACAGTTTAGTGAAAAATTCAGCTGTAACTTTTGACTCTCCCAGTACCGAACTATTATAGCCTATTGTTTACTGGAAGCTATACTGATAACATATATTGTCAATTAACACATTTTTTGTTATATATATATATATACATACATACATATATATATATATCCCCCCGATGCATAAAATTTGTGCACGGGGGTGGAGTGGGGTGGTGGTGTCCCTCAGTCCAGCCTGCACCCTCTCCAATCTGGGACATCCCTCTCACATCCAGAACTGCTGGTTCCCAACTGCTCACCTGCCTTCCTTCCTGATTGCCCCTAACCACTTCTGCTTGCCAGCTAGATCACCCCTAACCACTCCCATCCAGCCTGATTGATGTCTAACTGTTTGCCCCCAACTTCCTTCCTCTGCTGGCCTGGTCACCCCTAACTGCCCTCCCCTGTAGGGTTGATCAGCCCCAACTGCCCTCCCTTGCAGGCCTGGTGCCTCCCAACTGTTTTCTCTTGCTTGCCTGATCATCCATAACTGCCCTCCCCTGATGGCCATCTTGTGGTGGCCATCTTGTGTCCACATAGGTTCAGCTATCTTGTATGTTGAAGTGATGATCATTCTGCATATTACTCTTTTATTACCCTGTTTCCCCCAAAATAAGACAGTGTCTTATATTAATTTTTGCTCCCAAAGATGCGCTAGGTCTTATTTTCAGAGGATGTCTTATGTTTCCATGAAGAAGAATATGGTACACATTTATTGTTAAGTGAAAATAAAGGAAATTTATTACCTGTATTTGGTACGGTAGTACGGTAGTTGTCAACACAAACCAGACAAACTGTGAATCCTACAGTATCAAGAATTTACTCATTTATTCAATGACAATCATGTCATCATCTTCTGGAACATCATCATAACAATCCAATTCCTGAATTTCCTGGTGAATTTCTTGTGACTCCATTTCTTTCAGAATCAGTGGACCAAATCTCTCATGTTTAGCCTAGGGGGGCCTTATTTTCAGGAGATGCCTTATATTTCACTCAGAAGAAAACCTGTAAGTAGGTCTTATTTTCGGAGGATGTTTTATTTTCAGGGAAACACAGTAGATAGGATAGAGGTCTGGTGCATGGGTGAGGGCCAGCTGGTTTACCCTAAAAAGTGTCCCAGATCAAGATGGAGGTTCCCTTGGGATGTGGGGCAGCCTGGGCGAGGGGCTTATGGTGGTTTTCAGGCCAGTCACGCCCCCAGCGACACAAGCGGAGGCCCTTGTATCTGAAATTTGTTTACCCTCTATAATTGAAACTTTATAGCCTTGAGTGGAGGCTTAGGACAGCAAGGTCAGGCTGAAAGCTTGGCTTCTTCCATTGCCAGAGAAACCCAAGCCTCCCTCCTGCTCTCTGTGGCCGCAGCCATCTTGGTTGGCAGGCATGGCTGGTGGGCATGGCTGGTGGGCATGGCTGGTGGGCATAGCTTGTGGTTATAGCAGAGGTATGGTCAATTTGCATATTACTCTTTTATTAGATAAGATATACTCTATTCTTACAATAAAATAAACTAGATAAAGAAAATGTTAAGAAAATCATTAGAGAAAATACATTTATATTATTTATTGAAAAAAAACTACATATAAATGGACCCACAATTCAAATCCATATTGTTCAAGAGTTAACTGTATTTATTTTAATTCAATAGCATTGTGTAGTAATTATCTATTTCGACTTAGCATTGTTAGATTATTCAACATTAATATTTTTTTCTAAATATTCCAGAATGGGGAATTGAGTTGGAAAATCAGATAAGGAAAATTTTCTACTCTGCATTAGTTTTTTTTTTTTTTAAACTGATTTCAATCAGCATAGAAATACACACATAACAAGATGATTTTACATCATAAAACATATCATATACTTTCTATAATAAATTAAGAAAAACCCATATGTATCAATTTCCAAGACATAACAGGTCTGGTTCTCTATATCTACAAGAGAAAAATTATGCTTGCTAAAACAATGTTTTAAATTAACCCAATTTTCTTAGTTTCATGGTATTCTGATGTAAAGCAGGTCATATTGTTAAAAGAAAGAATTTAAATACCAGATTACTATTAAATCATATAAGTAGAAAATGATAAGAATTAGCTGTCAACTAAATAAAATTTTGGTTAATTTCTAAACTACATTATTTAACAGAAGTAGATATATTCTACTCTGACTAGAATACCTTCATTGACATTGCATAAATGTGAGGTCCAGTATACCTGTGTCACTGTTCTAGTTTAGTATTTAGTTTAGATTACCTTCAAGGAGATCATCCTCGTCTATGCCTTTGACAATCTTTGATTTGTAGTCTCGGAAAAACATGTATTTTAACAGTCTTCTAAGTTTTTTCTATTAAAAATATGAAATCAGTAAATAAGAAACCTTATACATATATTCAATTTACTGAGTAAAGACTATAATAACTAAATTTAATAAAGTAGTACCCCAGAATCACGGGGGAAATATACCAATTCCCAGCATAATACTATGTAATAAAAAAAAATCATAAATTAAATATGAAAGTTGAAACACAAGTATTTTTAAAAGCACTTTTCATTTACAAGTATCCCGATGCTCCAGAATCATAATAATTACCTTTATATTTTGGTTGTATAAAGAGCCTTAAATTCTTTCTGAAGACTGTGAGAAATATCACACTCTCCATACAAAGCTATTTTATTTTTTTAAACAATTTATAAACAGTCCAAACAAGGATTTTATAACAACTGCTTTAAAAAAAAGCATGTACTCTCCTTGTATTGTTTTTTATTCTCTGAGAGTTTTATTTTATTTAGAAGAGCTGGTTTATATTTCTGGAAAACATTCAGTAATATGAGAAACATATTTTTATGAAACTCAAAGTTGATTAATGATAGTTGGGTCTTAATAATGGCTTTCCTTAGGTTTATTAGAAAACCATAATACTACTTAGCTCTAAAAGTAACTTACAAATATTTTGCAATTTATTGTGTGCTTACACTTTGAATGTATTATTACTGGCTCTTAACCTTTAAGATTAAGATACTGTAACAGCTGAAAACTATTGCATTTTACAAAGCTCTTTTACATGCATTTTATTTGATATTCTCATAGCCCTGAGATATAGACAACTATAATCATCTCCTTTTTATACTTAGAAAAAATAACCTTTGAACCTTAGTTTCTTTATTTACAAAGTAAGTAAAGTACCTATGTTACAGGATTATTGTGAGGAATAAATAAACTGCCTAGTATAATACGTAAAACATAGACTGTCAATAAATACTGCTTTAAATAAACTGAAATCATGAAAAGAAAAAAAACAAACAGGTCTTTCACTATCCTTTTCTCTTTGCTGATTTTGTTCAGTACTTTAGATTGCATTTTGTCTTATATCATTCCTGAAAACTACTTTAAATTCTGTTCAGAAAATATCATCATATAAATAAAAGTATTATTTTAAGGAGAAAGATAACAATGGCAACTATAATATTATAGCTATGGTCTCAGGTGCTAAAATGATTCTGGTTATTAGTCCCACTGGGCAGTAAAGGGCATTGTCAATTAGTGTATGATCCTGAAGTTTCAACAGGATTTAAAATTTTACTTTCCCCAAAGGCAGGAAAATGTGCCAATGTGGACTTTATGTGTGTGTGCTAGCCTCTTTACCTCCGTCAGTGAAAAGGAAAACTTGACTAGATACATTCTGCTAACTCCCTCTTCCTAGATGCCTCCATAGGGAATCATGGCTCTGGGCCCTCATTTCTGCCAACAGCACCTTTCGGCTCCTTTCTCCCAGACCACTGCTATATAAGCCTATTTTTCCTTAGTCCTCCAAGTTTAATGGTCACCAAATCCTGCCCATTTTGATTCTTCATGATCTCTTTGAATTTTTCCTTCCTATCCAGTTCCAGAGCCAACACAGTAATCAGATTTTGTCTAGACTACTCAACCAGAATCCTGGTGAGTTCTTCTGTGTTTTATTCATTCTAGATATAATTGCATGAGTTTTACCACAGGCAGACACCTCCACTGCAAAAAAATTCTCCAACTTCTACATCTAATCATATAATCTTAAAATTATGTGAATCTTAAACTGCTTCTTTCAATTAAATCATACTGGTTTTCTAAACTAAACTATACCTTCTTGAAAGTGAAGATATTTCTTTTCTTTTCCTTTATATTCCTCAGACTAGCTAAGAGGTAATGTGCCAAAAGTTTGTCCAAAAGGTCAAATGGGAAGCCTTTTGATAAAAAACAGAGCCACAAGCATACAAAAATGGTGGCAGAGGAATGGGTGAGTACAATAAAAGGCAAGAAAAAAATCAGTGGAGAAATGAAAGATGGGACTGACATTAGTAACAAGGCATTGCTTGCTCATTTACAATGACATCTGCCACAACAAACTTGATTATATTTTTACATGTAACTTTTTCATGAAACATATTAAAACCCTTAAATTTTATAAAATATTTTCAACTGGCTACTCATGGAAGAGAGTTATGACAAATTAGACATGTAAATACCAGTTCAGATATTTTTATAACAGTGTTCAAGAATAATAAAAGTAGATATTTAAGTATAAAAAACCCTAGATATTATGGTATATATTCATGCTAATGGAATATACATCTGGATTGATTTTCTATTTCTTATAAACTAGGGTCAAAGAATAAATTTTGTATTTTAAGGTAAAAAATTACTGTCAGCCTGTAATACTGTATAAAATTAGAAGAAAAATAAATATGCCACTCACTTATCAGAACAGTAAATATTTAATGACTATTATGTAGCAATGATTATGTCAAAATAGGTATGTACAGATAAGTGAGAATTAGTTGTCAGCATAGTTTTACATATATGCCTTTGCCCATATTAAAAAATAAATAATTTTTTATAGTACCATTCTGTCATGTAAACTATGAAGACTAAAATACCAATTCAATAGTTATGATACCAATTTGAAAGCTATGTAAAAAGGGTATTTAGTTTCCTCATATAAGTATAGTTAAGCACCAAACATTGCAGTTTAATTCAGCAGAACATTTAAGATTACCTTATCTTTGCGCATCAAAAACAGAAGATCTTCAGGAGATATTACCCTTGCTCCCCGGAGCTGAGAGACTTCAGCAGCTTGGTGTAACTGACAACAACAAAATTTGGGAATTTTTCTCAATATAAATTAAGTACATGGCAGTCATGATGTCTTAGGAAAGAAAAAACACATTAAATTAAACATTTTGGGGAACAATTCAGCCATCACATTACTGTTTTTAAAAGTAAAATGTCTTACGTTTTAAGGTATAAAAAATGCAATTAAATTAAATTATAAGCCCACTTATAACTAATACAATAAACAGAAATCCTTGATTTCTTTCATGCAAAAGAAAAATCATGTGCAGCTTCCAGAAATGCATTAATACACCTGAAAATAATTTTATGAAATTGTATCCTCATATCCATGTGAGCAATGGTTTCACTCAGTATCACTAGTTGAATAAGTATATTATTAATCTGAACTCCCATGCTGGTATGATTTGAAATAGGCCCATTCAGACCTTTAAAAGATCAACAAAAACAGTAGCTGTTTCTAATATCCAAAGGAAAAAAAATAGTTTTAGTTTTGGCAAGTCTTCAGTGGGCAAAGGATTCAGTCCATAAATCATAATACGGGACTGCATTAATTTCTTTCCACACTAATCACATGCACACAAAAAGTTAACTGTATCTGGAATGCACAACACAAAACATACTGCATGAAAAGTTAGAGTCCCCCTGAAATGTTCATCTGGGCCCTTATATCTACAAAGTTGGGAGTTTTCTGGAATTCAGAAGTCCTAGAAACATAATCTTACTTGAAAATGCCCTGAAAAAGAAAAGAATGTGAAAAATGATAGTCCTATTTTTTGGCACAGGCAATCACTTTCTTATTTTGATTAGTTAGAGGAACATAAAATACATCCAGCTGAAAAAAATAAAGATGCTGCAGAAAACTCTACAAAAATGTGCCTGTAACTTCTTTCAAACTTGATCACACTATAGTGATTGCACTAAAACAACTCTATCCAATATTACAAAAATATTTACATATAAAAGGTGTTTCTGAATGCACCATTCTTTGAAAGGTATAAATCTAACAGATATTACTGAGAACTAATCTTTATAAAGTGACACACTATTATCTTAACAATTATAAGAAGTCAAATAGAGCATTTGTACTAAAGAAATTCTGCTTGAATGTTTAAGCGATTTTGCTAAGTAAGCTTCAAACCTTGTCTAAATACACAGACTACAAAATAGACTACAAACTCCCTATGTGTCAGCCTTCCCACTGCACTTCCTGGATACTGGTGGTTGGTATATAAACATAATTCTACCTAAATATAGAAATTTAAATTTAACTGTGAACCATTTAAAAAGAAATCTTGGGGGAAGGTTTTTTAAAAAGATGATGTATTTATTCAGAAAGATCTAAATGTTTTCAGCAGGAAAATTTAAACATTTTTCTAAAAACTGGGAGAGTACCAGGGAAATATGTATACACATGAGTGTATTTTCCAAATAAAAACATTTCTATCAGAGTCTAAAATACATGCAATCAGTGTGAAGAAGAATATGGCCTCAATGTCCATTCATCTGTACACATACAGAGAACAGGAGGCAGTGCTGTCAAGTACTACACAAATATCAGTAACTTTACTATGTTAAGAAAGGGTCAGGATAAGTAGATATCCCTAAACAGCTTTCCCATTAGTCAGTTATTTATCCACACTGCATCCATATGATCTGTATTTATAACACTCTCAAAAATGTTCATTTACCAACATTAAGTGGGAAAGATGAGGAAATAAAGATGAAGAGTTAGAAATTTTATTTTTTAATTTTTAAAATATATTTGTATTGATTTCAAAGGGGGAGAGGGAGATAGAGATAAAAATATAATTGATGAGAGTGAATCATTGATCAGCTGCCTCCTGCATGCCCCTCACAGGGGATGGAGCCCACAACTCAGGCATGTGCCCTGACTAGGAATCAAACTGTGACCTCCTGGCTCAACCACTGAGCATAATGCTGGGCGAGTTAGACATTTTAAAACATCTTTTCAAAACCAGTACACAACTATTATAGAGATCAGGAATTTGTGTCTTGGTTAATTATCAGGAAATCTTTACCTTGAGTTTTCATCCACCCCATTTTCTAACTTTCCTCACCTAAGGTAGAATCCTTATTAGCACTAGTAACGCTAGTTCTCACTAATATGCCATGGACTCCTGTGAAGTGAATCCTCTGGACTGAAAGCTACCATTGTGTTACTCACCAAGCCTATCTGGCCCTCATGTGACCCTTGTTTCAAATTTACCTCTCCCAAACTCTGACCTCTTCTTTTTTACTGTGAGGCGAGCAATTTAATTATCCAATTACAGTGATCACACTAAAGTGTGTATTACCCACTAGCTTACTTCTAGAAATATTTCTCTATATCTACCAGAAAGAATAAAGAAATTCCTTTTCAACAACACAAGCTTAAAACATGGGTGAGCAGCTTTGGAAATACCAAAACCAGAAACAACACTCCCTCCCCCCACCAAAAAAACAACAAAAAAACACAAAAAAATCCCCACAAAAACACCAAAAAACAACAACCCTCTTAATATCTTCAAGTGCTTAAAACAAAAGGTTGATTCTGTATTCTAAAATATATCCCTCAAATTCTTAATCCTTGAAAATAAATAGAAGTTATACTTTCTTATTCACTGTAGCAAACCAGTAATTAAAATAATATGAAATAGTACATTTATACTTTTTATTATAATAAAATTATACATTTAGTTAATTATAAAGTATACAAGAAATGATAGTGTACAGAAATACTTTAAGATCAATCTAACTTCAATGTGGTCTTAAATGCGTGACTGACATATTTCCCTATATGCCTTCATTCTCATTATGTTTCTTGTTTATCTCACTTATTTTTTTACACTTAGGCTCCAGTAATTTCAGTTTTATCTTTATGTCTTTGTGTGCTTGTGATGGTTATTTTGGTCAACCAGACATTTGGTCAAACATTATCCTGGGTGTTATTTTTGAGGATATTTCTGGATGAGGATAATATTTGAATCAGTAGAATGAATAAAACATATTGCCCTCCCTAATGTGGCTGGGCCTCAACCACTCAGTGGAAGAGCTGCATACAGTCATGCACTACTTAATGGCAGAGACATATTCTAAAAAATGTATTGCTAGGAAATTTTGTTTTTGTGCAAATATAGAGTGCACTTACACAAACCTTGATAGTATAGCCCAGTACACACCCAGGCTATATGATATAGCCTATTGCTCCTTGGCCACAAGTCATTATTTTATCTGTATAGTATATTACTGTACTGTACTGTATAGTATATTACTGCACAAAACAACACAATATTAAATCACCACAAAGAGAAAATGATGCAATCAAGAGATTCAGTTAACACAAGATGTATGAGGCTGCTAGCTGGTTAAAATGACTTGCCATTTGACAGCAAAACTTTTTTAAAAAAACATTTTTTATTGATTTCAGAGAGGAAGGGGAGAGGGAGAAGTAGATGGAAACATCACTGATAAGAGAGAATCATTCATCAGCTGCCTCCCTACTGGGAATCGAGCCTGCAACTCAGGCTTGTGCCCGGACAGGGAATCAAACCGTGCCCTTCAGGTTCATAGGTTGATACCTAACCACTGTTCTGGATAGCAAAGCTTCTTTTTTTAAAAAAATAAGTAGAAAGAGTACACTTTAAAATAATGACAAAAATGATAGTAAACACATAAACAAGTAACATAGTCATTTATTATCAACATCAAGTGTTTTGTACTTTGTAATTGTATGCACTATGCTTTTGTACATCTGGCACCACAGGTTTATTTTCCCAGCATCACCAAATACATAATATGTTATACTATGACCTTATAACATCACTAGGTGATAGGAATTTTCAGCTCCACTGTAATCTTATGGGACCACTATCATTGATGGTCTGTCATTGACCAAAATGTCATTAGAACAAAAAGTCTAAAGAAGAGAGAACTTGCTTCTGCCTGTCTGGAAGTAAGACATTGGTATTTTCCAACCTTCTGACTTAAAATAAAACATCTCATTATTCTCAGGCCTTTGGACTGGATCTGACACTACATCTTGCCTCTCCTGGGTCTTCAGCATGTCAACTACAGAACTTGGAACTTCTCAGCCTTCATAATTATATGAGCTAATCCCTCTAGCTATCTAAATGTCCGCCTATCTATCTATCTATCTATCTATCTATCTATCTATCTATCTAACTATCTATCCACATATATCCTATTGGTTTTATTTTTCTGGAGAATCTTAACTTAGAGTAGTTACTAAATAAATTATGAGAAATTCTTGATTGTGGGATCCACTTTCTTCTTTAAAATATAGGCTTCAAAATAATTTTCTCAAAGAAAAAATATCTATAATTATCTTCATACAAAATAGTGTTTATTATCAAACTAGGCACATCAATCAGTTTACAATATCTTAATTGTAGTTGTCAATAAGTTTTTTATCTCCCTCAACCAGTTACCTAACATACTCACTTCCAAACTTCCTTTTGAAATGTATCTATAGGTCGAAGACCACCATTCTCAAAAGGAAGTTTATAAATCTTAAATGTTGACATTCTATTTCCCCTCGGTGATTTTCAGTTTTACCATCTATAATAAAAATGAATTAGGCTACATGAAGTCAATAACCCCTGCAATTTGACTATGTCCCACATAAATTCGGTAGAAATATTTCTCTAAAGTTTTAAAAGTTTTTAAAAGTATAGCAAAATAAAAAGAGAAAGAACTCATGGACATGAATAACAGTGTGGCAGTTGTGAGGTGGGAAGAAGTGGAAGAGGGTATAGGTAGGATAAATGGTGATGGAGAATAAGTAAATAAAAGTACAACAAAATTAATTTGATAATTTAAAAATCATTAACAGCCTGAAAATATTCACTTTTAAACATGTATGTTACACTTTTTTCCTTTTGTTTCTGGCTAGCTTCTTGGATCTTTCCTTTTTGAGGATAAATAACACATACATACTTACATTCATACATACTAAGATGCAGGAATTGTTGAAAGCTGTGTCACAAAGAG